GCGTTGTTCATAACTGCGTATAATGAACCATCCTATAGTATTCAGTAAATTAGAGAAAATTAGCCTTTATTCATTTTGCATTAAAATTGTATTGTATAATAGTACTGGATACAATATCAAGAGTATTCTAATTATTGAGTTTAAGTCACCATCAGTGACGTCACGAATCGGATCTAACTTTTAAGGCGGAGTGACCGGCGGTCATAGGTCAGCAGGGTTGACATGTCTAATATTTCTCAAAGTTTTATTAACCATTTTGGGGATCGGGAACAGCTCTGCCGTTAGATGTTTGTAATTTAATTCAGTAAAATAATTCAACCAGTCTGGATCAATTAAGTACAACAGAGTTTAATTGTTATAACTTAAACCTGGCTAGTAACTTGGTAAAACTTTGACTAGGCGGAAGGATACAAGGTTCTAGTCTGGGCTAGGCCAGACGAGGACAAAGCAGTGTGAATACGGGAGCAGCTGGGAGAGGTCAACCATCTTACCTCTCCCCAAACCAGCACAACATCTTAGCTGGAAAACATAGAGGTATAGTTGCTATGGTTATGTATAGAAATAGTCTCATTTGCCACTCAGGTCAAGTAGGGAGTGTTAAATTGATAGGGAGTGAACATATTTAGATTTTGTTTTAGTTTTCTTTTAATAAATTAAATTTGTTATTAATTTGCATTTTATTGTTTCCATGTGTTTTATGTGTATACTTGTCCTGGTCACGTGGTCCACACGAGGCAGAGTTGCATTGGGCGCCGATTCTAACATCGAATCGGAATTATCATTACCGTGTAATTTATTCCACACTCAAGGTCATCGTTTATAGTGGGGATCAAGCCCCTAGGTTGATTAATTAGCGTGATCGATCCAGACCTCGATCATTGCTCTTGTATTACTGGTCTGGTGGTGGCAGCAGAGGTGACTCTAGGGTTTTGTTCAGAGCTTAGGTCACGTCATACTGGGTGTAGAATCCTAAGTCGGTCAATCGTCTTAGGACCACGTGGCGTGGAGTTGGCTTTGTTAAAAGTTTTGGAGTCCCTTGGTAGAGAACAAAGAGTAAGAATACGGGTAGAGGGAGTAGAAAGAAGGAAGTAAAGACAGAGGGAACCCGAACCCGTGTTACAAAAAAAAAAATAAAAAAATTTTAAAAAATAAATTATACCTGGAGGCTCATACTGTCTCCAACAGCGGCCGCTGTGAAGTCCGCAGCCTTACCTTACAGAAGATTGTCATCAGGTAGTTTAGCCTGTTCTCCAAGGACCTAAAGTCCATTCCATCCACCCGCCAAACCCCCTGTTTATGATTGAAAAACGGTTTACACACGACTCACCACTGATTTCGTTCGAACACTTCCGGATCAAGTGCTTCGCTTACGACTTTTGTTCGAACCACAACCCTGTAAACAGCCCGTTCTCCAAAACGAAGACCCAAAGTCCATTCCATGCACCCGCCAACCCCCTTGTCTATGAATGAAAAACGGTTTACACACGACTCACAATTGACGACGTTCAAACTCTTACGGAACAAGTGCTTCACTGACGAATTTTGTTCGAACCACAACGCTGTAAATGCTTCACCCACGTACTACAAATACAAATAATCGCCAACAGAACCTAAACCGTTTTTTTATTCATAAACAGCGGGTTTGGCGGGTGCATGGAATGGTCTTTTAGCCTTTGTTTATGAGGACGGGTTGACAGAGAATAAACATTGGTCTATGTGGATGAGTCGACCCTCCTTGTAATCAATACCCAAATGCTTGTTAATCCAGCCAATTAGCCCCCCTTGGTGTTATTGTTGTTGCTTCTTTTACACCATAGACATGATGAGGGCATACAAGATATACACACGATTAGGGGTGTTACAGTAGTTAGGTTAGGATGCGGCGTGTGGGTCGTGAGGTGATGCTTGATGTGTTTGAAGGTGTTTAAGCGTGATGTTGGCGAGAATTGATGGCAGGTAAGTCCACTACGGGATCACCATAGCCCGTGCTACTTGCCCCGCTCCTGTGCCAGGTAAGTCCACTACGGGCTCACCATAGCCAGTGCTACTTGCCCCGCTCCTGTGCCAGGTAAGTCCACTACGGGCTCACCATAGCCAGTGCTACTTGGCCCGCTCCTGTGCCAGGTAAGTCCACTACGGGCTCACCATAGCCAGTGCTACTTGGCCCGCTCCTGTGCCAGGTAAGTCCACTACGGGCTCACCATAGCCAGTGCTACTTGGCCCGCTCCTGTGCCAGGTAAGTCCACTACGGGCTCACCATAGCCAGTGCTACTTGGCCCGCTCCTGTGCCAGGTAAGTCCACTACGGGATCACCATAGCCCGTGCTACTTGGAACTTTTTATTCCAATTAGCGAATCTTAAACAGCAACAACGAACATTGATGTCAATTCAAAGCCTATTTCACTACCAGAAGAACTTACGTTCTTTTGGGACGAAAGAGAGAGAAGGAGAGAGCGTATATAGGGAGAGGAAGGGAAAAGAAGAGGGTTGAAATGGGTGGTAAGGGAGGAAGGTTATCCCATTCACCGCTCACTAACCCTTTCTAATGGGCTCAAAATAAGATGGATTGGAAAAGGTGCAGCCGTAACAAGACAAGAAGCCCCCATTAAATGGTCCGAGAGGTGGAACCATAGAAGCCGACCATTAGAACAAGATCACCTAACGATACAGTACAGCAGCACCCATTTCCCCCACTTCCCGCATCCCCATTATCTTCCCCCATTTGCACAGTCCTTCCCCCCCCCCCTTTATCTCCCCCGTGTCCTCGGGAGGGGAGTCTTCTCTCACTTCCCTCACTCTACCCTCTAATTCCCCATTTACAAAATAATGGGAATATAGAGAGAGAGAGATTGTAATGATAAAAATTGGCTACAACAAAATGGGTATGTAGAGATTCTGATTTTACGAACTCAAGAGATATCTGAGAATAGATACACTCTGTCACAATAGTGAAGGTGAAGAAGAGTGAGTGTGAAATGAATGTGAGAAAGAAAAGTGAATGTGAATGGTTACTGTGAAGTAGGAAGGTGAATGAAGGTGAATCTCACTTTCACCTCTCATTCTCTCATGAGAATGAGAGGTGAAAGTGAGAGAATGAGAAGGACTGTGAGGTGAATATGAAAATGTGAGGTGAATGTGAGAGTGTGAGGTGCCAGAGGAAAACAGTGGCAGTACAACTTAGTCAAGAATATAAAAGTTTCACAAAATTAAAAAAAAATAATACAAAAAAAGAGGCAAAAGGTGATTACTGTGAGTCAGTCCAATAATCCCTAGAAGCACTTAAGTGTCACGTTTGGGGATTTACAGCATCAGGGGAATGATGACTTTACCGATGAGTAATTTTTTGTGGGGGGGAGGAGGGGGTCCCTTTGACTATTAGAGTTTATAAAATAGTTTTGTAGCTTAATTATGCTGTGTGTACTCACCTATTTGTGCTTGCAGGATCGAGCATTGACTCTTGGATCCCGCCTTTCTAGCCATCGGTTGTTTACAGCAATGACTCCTGTCCCATTTCCCAATCATATCTAGTTTTAAAATTATGAATAGAGTTTGCTTCCTCAACCTGTTCCTTAAGTCCATTCCATTTTTTCCACTACTCTCACGCTAAAAGAATGTGTGTGTGTGTATGTGTGTGTGTGTGTGTGTGTGTGTGTGTGTGTGTGTGTGTGTGTGTGTGTGTGTGTGTGTGTGTGTATGTGTGTATGTGTGTATGTGTGTGTATGTGTGTGTATGTGTGTGTGTGTGTGTGTGTGTGTGTGTGTGTGTGTGTGTGTGTGTGTATGTGTGTGTGTATGTGTGTATGTGTGTGTGTGTGTGTATGTGTGTGTGTATGTGTGTATGTGTGTGTGTGTGTATGTGTGTGTGTGTGTGTGTGTGTGTGTGTGTGTGTGTGTGTGTGTGTGTGTGTGTGTGTGTGTGTGTGTGTGTGTGTGTGTGCTCACCTACATGTGCTTGCAGGGTTGAGCTTGGCTCCTATAGCCCCGCCTTTCCAACGTTTTTAGATTAATACAATGACGAAAAACAGCCAACATCATTTACCATTCAAATTTCCTATTCAAATCACCCGTAACACTGATTCTGTAATTCCTTGATTACATACAACTCTCACTCCTTAGAGTGAGACTAGATTCTAAATTCTAAACTAATCAAGAAAATAGAAATGGTATCAAAATAAAAAAAAAATCCCAATCAAAAAATTCAATAAACAAATAAAAGATGGAGTGTGAATTCGACTTCAGACACATGGCCCCTTCATGGGGACGACTTCTGACACATGGCCCCTTCATGAGGACGACTTCAGACACATGGCCCCTTCATGTGGATGACTTCAGACACATGGCCCCTTCATGTGGATGACTTCAGACACATGGCCCCTTCATGAGGACGACTTCTGACACATGGCCCCTTCATGTGGACGACTTCTGACACATGGCCCCTTCATGTGGACGACTTCAGACACATGGCCCCTTCATGGGGACGACTTCTGACACATGGTCCCTTCATGAGGACGACTTCAGACACATGGCCCCTTCATGGGGACGACTTCAGACACCTGGTCCCTTCATGAGGACGACTTCAGACACATGGCCCCTTCATGGGGACGACTTCAGACACATGGCCCCTTCATGAGGACGACTTCAGACACATGGCCCCTTCATGGGGACGACTTCTGACACATGGCCCTTCATGTGGACGACTTCAGACACATGGCCCCTTCATGAGGACGACTTCAGACACATGGGATAACTGGTCTAATCTTCTCATCAACATCACGATAGATTCAGAATATTACAGACCACGTATGTTAGACGTGTCGTTCCATATGCAGTACAAGCAGGAAGCCTTCACCTTGTCAAGGGCAAAAATGAAACCGGACTAAATTACTGAGAATTGCGCAGGACTGATCCCAGATTTTAATCACAATGAGTTATGAAAAAAGGCTAAAAGCATAGAACCTCACGTCACAGGGAGAGAGAAAAATCAGAGGAAACATGATTACGATGTACAAGATTCTCAGTGGCAATGTCGGAGTTGACAGAGATCGTTTGTTTGGTACTAAGAGGTGAGGGGGGGGGGGGGGATGGTAAAAAGAAGGGAGGAAACAGATGACAACTGAGTTCCCAACTAAGCAAAACGAACAAACACACACACATACATACACACACACACACACACACACACACACACACACACACACACACACACACACACACACACACACACACACACAAACACACACTTTTTTAGAGTGTGTGTGTGTGTGTGTTAGAAATAACTTTTACAGTGAAAGAGTAGTTAACAGGTGGAATGCATTAGGCAGTTATGGGGTGGAGGCTGACTCCATACACAGTTTCAAATGTAGATATGATAAGAGTCCAGTAGGCTCAGGAACCTGTACACCAGTTGATTGACAGTTGAGAGGCGGGACCAAAGAGCCAAAGCTCAACCCCCGCAAGCACAAATAGGTGAGTACACACCCGTGCCTAAACTCTCATGAAATTCTAATATTTTTCCCTCCCTCCCTCTAACTTTATTACTAATTATTCACTTGCTTTTTCTCCTTTTTTGGGTTGTATTTGTGAAGGCCACCCAGAGGACTCATACCCTGTCGGAAAACTGCAGGATATATATTCCAGCCAACACACTTTACTGGAGTTTTTCTCTATGGTTCCGTGTTTCTGTGTAAACTCCACGTTTCTGTGCTTCGCAAAACCCTCTTTATTTGTGGATCTGGTTGGCAGTCGAGTATTCAGAGCCACGTATTGGTCTTAGGTTAATTATTGCATCTGTTTTTCTCTCTCTCTTGATAATTCAACAAGTGTATCTCATTATATATAGTATCTCATATATATATATATATATATATATATATATATATATATATATATATATACATATATATATATATATATATATATATATATATATAAATAAATATATATATATATATATATATATATATATATATATATATATATATATATATATATATATATATATATATATATATATATTCCTACATGTAAAACGAGAATTTAAGCAAGTTAAGACATTATTAAGAACGTAAATCATAAATATATAATTATTTGTTGTCAGTTATCTTGGTATAATTGCTGAATTAACTAATGCAATTGGTGGAATTCCCATCATATATTTTTGTATGAAAACTCTGTTAAACTCATACCTGTTTGTTAGTTAGGTTTATTGACCTTAATGACTCAAGATCCAGTTGAATTGCCTCGCATAGATAAGGAACCACGGATGGTTGAAAGTATTTTGGATGGTTGGAGGAATTGACGATAACTTGAAGTACCTTGGAGGGTTGGAGATGCCCTGGATTCTTCAACGATAAGATTGACTGTGCAGCGAAAGATAAGATAAGATAATTGCATTAAGATGAGGGAGAGATGAAAGGTGAAGAGTGAGGACTACATAATTTATCTTTCTTTTACCATTTTCTCAAGTTTTATCCATTCTCCTAATTTTAATGCACTTATTCTTAGACCATCTTAGCTTCACGTAGTTTTTACTCTCTTAACTGTTTCTCCTACATTCGTATTCTTCCCTCCCTCTCTTTCATTTCTTGCTTGTCTTTCATTCCCTGCTGTCCTCTCTCACTCCTTTCCTCGATCTTTCTCTCAGATCCTCTTTCCATCTCTCTCACTCGCTACCTCCCTCTCCCTACACCTACAAAAAATATGAGACTGCCAAATCCCGTTTCTATAACTATTGTTTCTTGAGATTGTCTCTCCCACTGTACAAAACCATCTGAAACACATTCCTCTGTTCTTAATCCCCCTTGCCAAGATCTGTCAAGCCTCTTCGTCGTTTTCTGATTATTAAACACCTACATCTCAATAGATTATGGAACAAGTTTCCACCAGATTCGACAAACAATTAGAAGGTTAGAATAGGTAAATTATAACCCAACAGGTACCACAAGGTTAGTAAGTGTCTGGGGCATAATGAGGCGGGAGAGGATAGGAGTTCAGAGGAAAGGAGCTTTGTTCAATCACTTGAACCATCGGGGATCGAGTGCAGACTTGCAAGAAGCGAGGTCGTTGATCTGCAGCCCAGGGCAAGCAGATAGTTGACCCTAAATCTATCTAAGTCTAGCTATGAATCCTTAATCGAATGATCTTCCATTGTCTTGTGTGAATCCTTAATCCAAATAACACCATTAGTATTTGTCTCGTATATCAATACTCCATTTTATTTGAATTTTTAGTAATGACAAAATGCATGGAAGAAAATACAGCTCAAGAATACAACACAAATACAGTTATACAATGTTGTAGCAGATCTTTAAGGATAAAATACAGCAGGTAGAGAGCACAGAGAGAGAGATAGAGAGAGAGAGAGAGAGAGAGAGAGAGAGAGAGAGAGAGAGAGAGAGAGAGAGAGAGAGAGAGAGAGAGAGAGAGAGAGAGAGAGAGAGAGAGAGAAGGGGTTACACTCAGATATATTTTATATGTTTAATATTATTTTGAAATCACAGTCAGAAAGAGATGGCTCACTGACGATCACTCTAAATCCTTTCTAAGCCAGATCCCAGTTGCATAATCAATGTACAAAGTGAGTTTAATCCTGGCTAGTCCTTGTATCTGTTAATGCTGAACAACTGATGATATTATGTACAATGTTTCAAAAAGGTTCTTCTATATTTTTTGTGCCTTTTCGTCTAATTTGATAAAACGAAATATCCAAGTTAAATCACTCCGATTAGTCACGATATATATATATATATATATATATATATATATATATATATATATATATATATATATATATATATATATATATATATATATATATATATATATATATATATATATATTAGTATATTTTGGTAGCAGTCTTTCCTGTAGACATATATTATTAAATATGACCGAAAAAGTAAAATTAATAATTCTAACACGAATTTTCTCAATCTTTCGTACATTTCTTTTCACTGTTGGAGGTAATTCAAAAATCAATTCTCCAAAATTCATTTTTATTTCTAGTCTAATAAAAATGAATTTTGGAGAATTGATTTTTGAATTAACTCCAACAGTGAAAAGAAATGTACGAAAGATTGAGAAAATTCGTGTTAGAATTATTAATCTTACTTTTTCGGTCATATTTAATAATATATATATATATATATATATATATATATATATATATGTCGTACCTAGTAGCCAGAACGCAATTCTCAGCCTACTATGCAAGGCCCGATTTGCCTAATAAGCCAAGTTTTCCTGAATTAATATATTTTCTCTATTTTTTTTCTTATGAAATGATAAAGCTACCCATTTCATTATGTATGAGGTCAATTTTTTTTTATTAGAGTTAAAATTAACGTAGATATATGACCGAACCTAACCAACCCTACCTAACCTAACCTAACCTATCTTTATAGGTTAGGTAGGGTTAGGTAGCGGAAAAAGTTAGGTTAGGTTAGGTTAGGTAGGTTAGGTAGTCGAAAAAACATTAATTCATGAAAACTTGGCTTATTAGGCAAATCGGGCCTTGCATAGTAGGCCAAGAAGTGAGTTCTGGCTATTAGGTACGACATATATATATATATATATATATATATATATATATATATGCAAACAAGCCTGAATGGTCCCCAGGACTATATACAACTGAAAACTCACACCCCAGAAGTGACTCGAACCCATACTCCCACAACTGGTATGTACAGGGACGCCTTAATCCGCTTGACCATCACGACCGGACATAATCCTTATGTCCGGTCGTGATGGTCAAGCGGATTAAGGCGTCCCTGTACATACCAGTTGTGGGAGTATGGGTTCGAGTCACTTCTGGGGTGTGAGTTTTCAGTTATATATATATATATATATATATATATATATATATATATATATATATATATATATATATATATATATATATATATATATATAACTTGTAGAACATGAGGGAACATAACGTCTACAAGATGAAATTATTTAACAAATTTAATTATAAATAGGATACAAAAAAAAATATGAACTCAATTTAGAACACGAAATAATGGATTCAAATTAGAGAAATCGAGATTTAGAAACAAACAAAAATAGGTGAATATTGGATCAGAAATGGGATACCGAAATATGAAACAAATCCCCAATTAACACTATTAAACAAACTGGAAATCTTTGACAATTATATGAGAGAGAGATGATTGTAAATTGGTGCTGCCTTGCATAGGCTAATTTACCACTTTAGCAGATTCGTAAATAATAATGCTCTTAGATCCAATCCCCCCTCCTCTCCCCCCCCCCCCTCTTCCAACACCCCATCTTGTACCCCCAGAACATCCTCTTTTTTTACCAAGGTCGGGTTTGAGGCTGTCATTTCAATTAATTCAGCGTAATTGACTAATTATCATGGCCAAAGACAGACATTTTGCCCCAAGCACTGACTTCGTCTCTTCAGCACCTCCCGATAGTGCTTATAGTGCTGCTATGATCCATAAGCATCTGGCACAGGGGAAATGGGAACCCAGAGACGATGGAGATAATAGGATAATAAAAATAGGAAAAAGGGGGAAATAATATGGGGAAGAAGCGTAGAAAACGTTAGGTGGAGAACCGGAGAAAACAGAAGGGAATACGCAGAGAAACTGGATAAATGTGAAATAGGCAGGAAACTTGAATTAACGGTATAAGCAGAAGATGGTAAAAAGAACTAGGGATATAGAGGGTAACAAAGAAGATAAGAAAGCAGAAAGGAAAATAAATATAGGGAATAAAATAGTGTGAGAGGACTGGATTAGAGTGGAGGAGAGAGAGACAGAGAGAGAGATAGAGAGAGAGAGAGAGAGAACACAGAGCCTCAACAAAGAAATGCTTAATCACTGTGTTTTATATCTTTCACCATAGTGTTCGCACTATATAATATATATTCAGTCAAGAATTATGGTGATATCGTCTCGTATACGAGAGAGTGATTATCTATAAATATCTATCTATATTTATCTTATATAAATTTATCTATAAATTTATATAAGATAAATCTATAAATATAAATTTATATATATAAATCTATCTTTTCGATCTATAAATTTATCTT